CTCCAATCTGATATCCAATCTTTCATCACCTAATCTTTTTGTTATCCTCATAACCTTACTCTTTCCTGTATTCACTTTCAATTTTTTTCTTTTGCACACCCTACCAAATTCATCACCAATCTCTGCAACTTCTCTTCAGAATCTCCCAAGAGCACGGTGTCATCAGCAAAGAGCAACTGTGACAACTCCCACTTTATGTGTGATTCTTTATCTTTTAACTCCACGCCTCTTGCCAAGACCCTCGCATTTACTTCTCTTACAACCCCATCTATAAATATATTAAACAACCACGGTGACATCACACATCCTTGTCTAAGGCCTACTTTTACTGGGAAATAATTTCCCTCTTTCCTGCATACTCTAACTTGAGCCTCACTATCCTCATAAAAACTCTACATATAGTAGTACTTAAATGAGTAATGAAGTAGATACATAAATATTTAAAATCACATTTACGTACCTTTATTGAAGACTCTTGTTGGCATGTGGAAGATAGGGAGGAGGAGAGAGGCAGGACCTATCATTATCAACCACTGCCTCCACCACTGTGGATATTGTGGATATTGATGTTGTGCTAGTGGTGGGTTGATGTGCAAGCCCAGGAGGGATGTTCCTGTCCAGGACAGGTTCATTCAGTGGCTGAGGCACAACCTTCACACACTATACTGGCATGCACTCACCCACCCACCCATCCCTCTCACATTTCACCCTTACATCTACCACTGCCTCAACCACTGTTCACTCGAGGATAAACAGAGCCACACTGACTCACGACACCTGATCGGGCAGGCGGACAGGTCTAGTACGCCGGCCAAAACTCAGGGCACAGTGCAAAACTCGAGACAAAATTTAGCCGAAAAAAGCAGTCGAAACTCGAAGTGGCTGAAGCTTGAGGCGGCCGAAACTTGGGGTTCCACTGTACAGTGGACCCCCGTTTAACGATATTTTTTCATTCCAGAAGTATGTTCAGGTGCCACTACTGACCGAATTTGTTCCCATAAGGAATATTGTGAAGTAGATTAGTCCATTTCAGACCCCCAAACATACACATACAAATGCACTTACATAAATACACTTACATAATTGGTCACATTGGGAGGTGATCGTTAAGCGGGGGTCCACTGTACATACATGTACTTCTGATTTGATAGAGTCCATGTCGAGGAGTTGGATCCTCTTTATGTGTGGAACATTTCACCATGGATTATGTTAGTACAAACATTCAGCATTTATACACCTACTTAAAAAGGCAGTTATACTGTGTACCATACATACAGCTGGACTACATCAGGCAGCTTAAAGTTCTCAGTATCCAAAATTAATTCAATTGCATTCACTTGGCACCTTGTTATTTCCTGATTGGTTTCCCTATCCCAGTATGCCAAGCTATTAAATTTCATGGCTTCCACCTTAATTGTACAATATGGAAATAAAATGTAACAGTTATGAAAGCTGTATATCTTAACAGACTGAATTTATTTAAAATTTTGTCACATTTTACCTGGTGGACCAATATACGAGTTGTTCTCTATCTTCTTATGGGTTTAGTTTTATTTTAATTTAATTATGGAATCAGGTGGGCTAATCTACTTCAACAACTATTCTTTCAAAGCTTGATGCCATCCATCATCAGTGTCTTTCATTTATCTCAATTCAAAACCCTGTATGTAATGCTCATTACAAGATTGTCGAGACACTCATTGTCTTGTTTACTTTCATTATTTCATGACTGTGCAACCTATATAATAATCTCTGATGTTTGTGCAACCAGTATAATAATAACTGATGTTGTTAAAGCTGACACATTAAGTTGTTGTCTTTATTAAATCTTATAGTCCCACTTTCAGACTAACTGCTGTCTTCAGTCTGCCTCCTTCCCCATTCTTTTCTGTTTGCCCTGTTCATCACTTTATCATTCCACCTTGGGAGGTACTAATGATTTGAGTTCTCAGTGTCCTCCATTCTTTCTTTTCCAAAATCTTGTGCATCTGCTATGGATATGAGCTACTTCTTTGTTGAGCATTTTCACTTGCACTCACGTGCTGTTGCTGTGTACACTGATTACTCAAAATCCTTTGATTGTGTGGGCCATTCAGCAGTTGTTCTGGATAGTGTGATACAGCAACACTTATTGGATATGGCTAGTATTGTATTTTCAGTGCACAGTTATACAAACTTCTTGCAGCTATCATCCACATTGCTGCTCTTCTCACTTCCTCCTGTGTCATACTTTCAGATTTTCAAGTGCATTACAATGTCTTTGGTGCTCTGAATCATTGCATCCCTATCTCTTTTGTATTCGTTGTTGGCTGTGTTGCCTCTTCAGCAAGCATAAAAACATCATTTGCTGGGTCCTTGGTCATTCTGGTGTTCAGAACAATGAACTTGCTGACTAATCTGCATGTTCTTTAGTTCAGGTCCTGTAAGTCTCTCACAAGTATCTGTTCTTTTCAGACTACAGGATTTTCCAGTTTTATCTCGGAGCATTTGGAATCAGTGGTAGTGTTATTTGATCTGGTTTGAGGATAATAAGCTGTTATTGATCAAACCATAGTTGAGTTCTTGATAAAGCTTTCATTGCTATTGAGTTTGGGAACAGTTGTCATAAGACTCACACAACTGTCACATGAAAATGCACCTGGTGTACTTATGTGAAACTTGTCAGGTCTTGTTGACAGTCAAATACCTTTTAATTGTACCATTTATCAAAGAAAACAGATTTCGTTTCTGGTCTTCTTTTCAATGCCTGGGTGCCCTCACTCTGCCTTCGTTCCTTTCAGAAAGCCCTACCATTGACTTCCCTCAGCCTTACACTGCTTTATGACCTGTATGGGTTTAGTATATTGAGTCAGTGGGAAGGGCAGTGCCTGCACTCTGAAGGAGGGGTGGGGATGACTGCAATGTCAGCACACTTCTGGAAAGACAGCTATTGAGTAACTGTTGGTGAATGTATTTTCTTGGATCACCCCTGCCTTGGGGGAGACAGCTGAAGAGTTAAAAAAAAAAATACTGATAATCAGCAGTAGAAGCATTAAATTATATTTTAATTTTCCATGTATTCATAGACATTGTGCCAGACTTGTGTCCTGGAGGTGGGAAGTATAATGCTTGCACTCTGAAGGAGGGATGGAGATATTTGCAGTTTGGAGGGGCATCTGAACTGTAGTATCTGAATGCCTCTGATAAGACAATGATGGAGTGAATAACGGTGAAAGTGTTTCATTTTCGGGTCACACTTTCCTTGGTGGGAGATGGCCGAGTTCTTTGTCGTTAACTGAGCCAATATATTGATGCAAAAAGTGTCGTTATCCGATGACATCATTAACTGAGGGTCCATTGTACAGTTTTTATTATAGTAAATTTTTGTTTCAAGTCAAATTGTATCTATAATTAATGCATACATGCTTTGAAGATATTAGCTGTTACTGTGATTTATCTATTAAGACACTATAAAAGATTGTAGAATTAAGTTTAGATATTTATTTTTGTTAGCTTCTTTCATCTGTATTTCATAATACATAGTTTTATAGGTAAATCCTCAAAAAAAAAAAAAGATGCTATATACTGTACTGTATTATACTTAGTACAGTATGTAAGAATGGTAATTGATGTGTGTTATAATAAAAGTGTACACAGTACTGCTGTATTGTATATTTTCCTTCAAAATACAGTGGTACCTCAGTATACATCCATTTTGGAATGAATCCAACTTGGTATATATCCTGTTTGAACACAAAAATTTTTGCTTGGTACATGACCTTTGTTTGGAATACAACTCGCGTGCTAGAACTTGTATGATTTTGTTAAAGAGTTTGGGGAATTTGTGGGGCTAAGGGTCTTGTTCCCCAGCAAGTTTTTAATTGTGACAAAACAGGCCTGTTTTGGAAGAAAATGCCTAACAGGACCTATATTACACAAGAGGAGAAGCCATTACCGGGACACAAGCCAATGAAGGATAGGTTAACTCTCTTGTTCTGTGCCAATGCAATTAGAGATTGCAAACTGAAGCCTCTGCTGATCTACCACTCTGAAAGCATGAGGGCCTTTAAAAAACATAACATGCAGAAAATTCAGTTACCTGTGATGTGGAGGTCAAACAGCAAGGCTTGGGTAACTAGAGAACATTTCAGCGAATGGTTTAATGATGGGAATGTGGAAGAGTTAGTAGAGGGGCACAGGGAAGAGCTGACACTGAGGAGCTGCAGGAGCTTGAGAAGGAGGAGCACAAGATGAAGATGGATGCACTGTCTTCAGCTCAGAAGAGGAGGTAGAGGAAGCCCCTACTTCATTAATCAAGGAAATCTTTGCCAAATGGATGGACGTCAAAAACTTTGCAGAGAAGTACCACCCCAACAAAGCCCAAACCAGCTGTAATAGCATTGTCTGGAATGACCAGACAATGTCACATTTCTGAAACATCCTGAGAAGAAGGCAAGGCAAAGTTCTTTGGACAGATTTTTAGTAAAAGTCAAACCTGGTGAGCTTCAACCAGGTGCAAATAGGGAAAAGAGAAAGGGACTCTCCTTCCAAACAATAACATTTCCTCCTCCTCCCTTCTCAGCACTATCCTAGTAGGCACTTGACTCTTTTCAGCGAAGTAAAGGGAGGTTAAATTTGCATTTATTTCATCTAATTCTTTTGTATTTATATGTGTATTTTAATATTAAGCAGTGTTTAAATTACATATTTTAGTATTAAGCAGTGTTTAAATTATTTTATGCAACCCCATCAATGTATAATATGCCAATAACAATAGGATATTTTTTCATGGGAACGGGTTAATTGTTTTCCCTATGTTTCTTGTGGGAAAATTTGTTTGGTACGAGTCCAGGGTCCTGGAACGGATCAAGGTACATACCACTGTATATTCTAAAATAATTTTTATTACTGGTTATGGACTGGTTTTAAACATAGCTTTGACATTTTTATTGCAAGAAAATTATGATTATTTTATGTAATGAGTATAGGTTGAACTTTTATTTTTTTCATTTTCCTTACAGGAAGAGGATGATCTTGCTGTGATGAATGTTCGTGTGGAAGATCTGATGTCTGCAGGCTCAGGGGAAGTGATACATCATGAAACATTAATTATTGTAGTTGGTATGTATTTACCGCATTTATGGAAATGTGTGCCAGTATAAATTCTCTAGTCAAATAAGGTTCTAAGTAGGTATGCAAAGATTTTGGCTTTTATTTACTGTCACTAGGAGAAGCAGCCTGGTTTATTAGGCAGTCAAGGAAGTCTGGCCTCTTGGTAGGCTGCCAGGGCACAAGAACCCTTGAAACTAGTTATTAGTAAATGCTGACATGAATTTATATGTGAAAGTAAAGTAATTTTTGTTATCCTAACAAGACAGAAAATGATTGGTGCCTGGTAAGGTTTTCTCTGGATACTGGGTTTTGCAAAGCTAGCAGTGGCTAGGACTTCATGACTGTAGTTTTAGCTTTCAGAGTAAAGCATTAGTTTAACAAGCATTAGCATTTATTAAGTTTGGAAGAACATCTGAAACTAGTACCAGATGGCAGTTTTGCTGGATTTGACACATAGAAAGATAATAGTGGGTAAATGATTGTAAAGGAATTAATTTATATTTAAAGAAAAGAGTGGATTGTATACTATACTAAGAGTTTTGGATGTTTTTGTCTTGATGTTTTCATAATATATATAATATTGTGTATTGCATGAGCTGTGTATGGTATTAGTGTTCAGTTTACCATATATTGAGGTACTGTATTGGCCTACCCCTAATTGTGCCTGCTTAGGGTTATTAAAAGCAGTGCATTCAACCAAAGGATTTTTTTTAACACACTGGCTATCTTCCACCAATCCTATATAAAAAAACCATTTAACCCTTTCACTGTCGGTGTCATATTTGTACGGCTTACAAGCTAGTGTTTGTGCCGTATTAATACGCCAAAATTCTAGCGGCTTCAAATCTAGTAGAAGAAAGAAGAAAGCAGGTAGTCCTACATGTGAGAGAAGGGGTCTGCATGGTCATTGTGTGCAGTATAAAAAAAATCTTGAAGCAGGCAGTGCATAATGAGAAAAACAAAACTCCGACCATATTTTGGGTTTAAATTGCCGACTTTGAACTGTATTTTCGTATGGTATTTATGGTTGTATTCTTGTTTTCTTGGTCTAATTTGATAGAATGGAAGATATATTACAGAAATAGAGATGATTTTGATTGGTTTCACGATGAACAGTACCTTAACCCTTTCAGGGTCCGTCCCGTAGATCTACGGCTTTACGTTCAGGGTCCAAACCGTAGATCTACGCCGTGAGCTCAGCTCACTCTGATAAACTGTGAGTGGTTCATTTGGGCCTAGATATGAGAGAATACATCTATGTGGTATGTGTGCACCACATAAAACAGATCCTGCAGCACACTGTGTATAATGAGAGAAACAAAATGAAATCATGATTTTTCGATTAAAACAGCAACTTTGCAGTGTTTTTTCGTATGTTTTTTATAGTTGTATTTGCGATTTCTTGGTTTCATATGATAGAATGGAAGACATATTACAGAAATAGAGATGATTTTGATTGGTTTTAGCACTGGAAATGGCTTGAAACTGAGCTCAAAGTAGCAGTAATGTTAAATTTTTGCCGATATTCAAGAGTAAACAAACGACCTCACACGTCTAATACACGTCAGCTGGTGGGTCTAATATACATTCACAAATATGGTGATGATATTTATACAATTATTACAGTATTGCATAACAGTAAATCTTCTATTTTTTGGTGTGAATAAAAATTCATTATGTGAATAAAAAATCAAAATGGAATTTATTTGTAAAGCCTCAAAACATAACTAATGAACAGAGGAAATGTTAGTTTAGTGCCAGGAATGCCTACATTGTTCATTCTGGACCCTATTTTGAAATTGGAATATTTTGAACTTTGTGTTAAATTGGCCAAATTAACAATTTCCGATCACTTTATTTTGTAGTTGAAACAATTGACTTGGCGATTTCTTGTGCTCAATCGATAGAATAGAAGTAATACTAGTGAAATAGCTAAGAATTTGGTTGATTGGAATAATGTAATTGGCCTAAAATGGGAGTCAAAGTCGGCAAAATCGCCGATTCGTAAATATCGCTGACACATCAAAATTCGCGAGAGCATAATTTCGTCAATTTTCCACCAAATTTCTTACTTTTTGTTTTATTACCTTCACAAAAAGATTCTCTACGATTTCATAAGAAAAAGTAACAACTTTTTTTTTTTTTTAAATTCTTGGACACTGGTGCGTGACTCCAGATTTGGGCCTTGGACCCTGAAAGGGTTAAAATTGAGCTCAAAGTAGCAGAAATGTTTGATTTTTACTGATGTTCAAGAGTAAACAAATTATGTCACTGTCCAATACGTGTCCATCTGGCCAATCTAATACGCAGTCACGAATGGGTTGACATTATTTATACAATTACAGTGGTGCCTCAAGTTTCGAACGGCTCCCAACTCGAACAGTTATGTAAGTGTATTTTTGTAAGTGCTTTTGTAAGTGTATTTTTGGGGGTCTGAAACGGATTAATCTAATTTACGTTATTCATTATAGGAACAGATTCGTTCGGTATCGGCACTTGAACAGCCTTCTGGAACGAATTAAGTTCGTAACTCAAGGTATCACTGCAATAATGCAGTAGTCTGCATAACAGTAAATCTTCTATTTTTTGTGTGAATAAATTCAAAATGGAAAGCAAGAGTAATATAGGAGGGGCCTGGAGATATGACTGATGAACAGAGAAAATGTTATTTTAGTGCCAGGAATGTCTGCATTGTTTATTCTGGACCCTATTTTGATATTGGCATCTTTTGAAATTTGTGTGAAATTGGCCAAATTGCCAATTTCTGACCACTTGATTGGGTAGTTGAAATCGGTAATGGGCAGTTTCTTGTACTCATTCGATAGAACAAATGGAGTTCTAGTGAAATAGCTATGAGTTTGGTTGACTGAAACAACGGAATTGGCCGAAAATAGGGCTCAGAGTGGGCGAAATCGCTGATGTGTATATATCCCCGAGACGGCTAACTCCGCTAGAGCATAATTCCATAAGTTTTCCATAAAATTTCTTACTTTTGGTGTCATTACTGCTGGAAAAAGGTTCTCTATCATTTCATAAGAAAAAATATTTTTTTTTATTAAATTCTTCAACACTGAGAGAAAGTTTGTGAGCAGGGGGTCTCGATATTGAAGGGGTTAATTGCTGTCATGCCAGAAGTTTGTTGACATCACCATTCAGATGACCCTCTGCACTGTAACATCCATCCTCATCCTGTCTTAAAAATGTAGGAGCTGTTCGAACCTTCCTATCCACAAATCAAATTTCAGTGGCTATTTCTGAGATATAGAAGGAATAGTTGGTACCACTGCACATTACCTTCACATGCTGTAGTTAGTAACTGTATCTGTTATTAGGGCACATAAATGAAGGATGTCACATATGATTAGTATCCTAATAATATCTCACCTACAAGTGGTTGTGGCAGAGTGCTGTTACCACAGTAAAGTGAGAGAATAATTTTGCGTCAGTCATCTCCGTGCTGGGTCACGCTGCCACGTGGCAGTGTTGAGAATCATTCTGAAATTTGACAAAGTCTGAAATTCGAAACATTACAGGTCCCAAGGGTTTTGGATAGAGAGATGTGCACCTGTATTGGATAAGTATAAAATACAAAACGACATTCTCTTTGAAATATTAATTTTTGTATACACATTTTAAGGGCACAGGACAGTGTATGGAATAGTTTGTATGCTAAAGAATATTTGAAGGTCATTTATTATTGCATAAATGTGTTAGTTTCATACTGAAATGTACACAGCAAATGAAAATAAGTTTTTTTATTAAATACTCATCACTCTATAGAGATTTGTAGGTCAATCATGTTATTGCCAATATTGGCATCTGTATACTTTTAATAAGAATTCTTGTATCTTTTTTTTTTTTTTTTACCAGAAACTTTTGAGACAGAATTGACACGTCTCCAAAATTCTGGTTTTCTATTGGTGGATGGAACCCCAATGCAAGATCTTCCGTCACCAATGAGGTCACGGAGGCTACGGCAGGTATATCTTTTATGTTTGTTTCATTAGTCACTTGGGACACTTAGGTGTTGTAGATTCCATTGACTTTCCAGAACACACTTGATCTCTCCCTCTCGTGCTTACTGCAGCCTTGAAAATCCTGCTTTCTGCTCAATAACCAGGAATTACTGTGCCACCCTAGCTTTATCAATTCCCACTAGACAGCTTCACAAATTCTGCCAACAGAGCATTCACTTTCAGCTGCAGGCTTTTTCAATTGATTTGCTTTCCTTTTTCCTGTATCACTTGTGCTGTTTCTTCATATTACTGTTGTTTTAATATGGTTTTGTTAATTAAAATAATCATAACTTTTGATAAATTTATCTGAAGACATCTTACATTAAACCTTAACCTTCTTTCAACAAACCGGCTGTATCCCACCGAGGCAGGGTGGCCTAAAAGGAAAAACGAAAGTAACTTTAGATTCTAGTTTGAGTACACTAAAAATGTTCTACATTGCCAGAGGTTTTTCAAAATGCACCATATGAAATAAATGTCATCAAATTTTTGAACAATTTGGTATATTAGTTTGTTTAAAATAAGAAATTTTGACAGTAGTGTTCATACCTGTTAATTCATATATTGTAAGTATATTTTGTAATCACATATCATCCACATGGGAATAGCCTAGTACATAATTGAGAAATATCGTATGTTGTATTAGTTGTGTTAAGTTTCATGCCAAAGTGTATGTAGGTAATCAGAGTTTAACATTTTAGCCATCTTACTTCATCTGCAAATCTAGCTTACTAATTTGTTATTGTTAACAGGTAGTGAAGCAAATGTGTGCTCTGCTTGGGAATTTGGAGACGACTGAAGTATCTGATGCAATAAACACTCTTGTGTCTACATGTAGAATAATTCAGAAGAGTCAGGTGTGTCTTTTCTTTTGTGCTTAACCCATTTGTTATGTAAAGTAAAAGGACACAAGTGCAACTAATGTGACATTTTATTGTGGCAACGTTTTGTTCTCTAGGAGCTTTGTCAAGCTTGACAAAGCTCCTGGAGAGTGAAATGTTGCTACAATAAAATGTCACATTAGTTGCACTTGTGTCCTTTTACTTTACATATTGTCGGTAATTCTACCAACATATATACCATTTGTTATGCTGATTGATGTATGCTGCTTAGGTATTTTAATGTTTTATAGTAATGTTCTGAATGAATTTATTGAACAGTTGCTGATAAGGAAATGTATGGTATTTTGCCAAATATCTCCTCTCTGTAACTATACCCCATTATTCTTGCATTAAAGTTTATATGTCTTTTAGTGTCACCAGTAGCACATTTCTTCATTTACATTATCTTGCTATGTATGACATACAGAATTGACCAGTTGCTTTTGGTATTAGTAACTGATAAGGATAATAACCAGTTTCTGACCATTAATTCTAAACAAATAATTTATTGTCAAAGGTAGGGACACCATAATTTTATTAACTGTGGATATCAGTGGTAATTTCTCTATCATCTTTCAACAAACTGGCCGTATCCTACCGAGGCAGGGTGGCTCAAAAAGAAAAACAAAAGTTTCTCTTTTTAAATTTAGTAATTTATACAGGAGAAGGGGTTACTAGCCCCTTGCTTCCTAATTTCTCTATAGGTGATTATATATATTCATACGTTTCCGGTACTGTACTTTTATTAACAAATGCCAAAAATGTGCAGTGATCATATCTGGGCACCTCTGCAAAAACAGTGATAATGTGTGAGTGATGGTGAAAGTGTTGAATGATGGTGAAAGTTTCTTTTTTGGGTCACCGTGCCTTGGTGGGAGACGGCCAGTGTGTTAAAAAAAAAAAAGTGTAGTGCATGCAATGACAGAAGCTAATCTTTCGTAATGTAAATTCATGATATATATATGCACAATAAAAAAATTTATATGGTCATGCAAACATATTTGCATCGCAGGTTTCAGACTTTTTATTTTGTGCTCAGCATCACTCCTGCACAAGTATCCAGCAGCAGTCAGCTATCAAACTGATCATCAGGTTTCCTAAATGATATTGTTCACCATGAGGTTCCATTTCACAGAAACTGTACATGTTGGAGCAAATCTAAGTTCAGATTTGAATTCTGCATCCCAAAATTTGTTAGAAATGGGACTGAAACCATTGTTGGCCAGTGTTATTGTTGCACCATTCTAATCTAAAACTTTTGTTTGAATGTAGAAAGTATTCAGATCAGGTGAACTATAAAGCATATCTACAGTATACATGCATCTTTTCCTTGACTAACTTTCTCATGCTTAAGTTGTTAAATTACAGGGAATTCTTGATGGTGAGGATGATGGTCCTGGTCAACGTGTGCTCTCTACAGGCTCCCATGATACCTCCAATCCAGAGGACTTGAAGCAGTTGTTACTAGACACTCTTAGTCGTCTTGCTGGTGCAGTAAACAATTTCTTGGTGATGTATGCCAAAGCATTCAGGGTGGACTTTACAGTTGACATGACTGTAGACCCCACACAAGGTAGGTTAAAAGATTTTATTTTTATTGCTGTAATGAAAATGCACTTTACTTTTGTTAATTATCACGAACAAACAAGTATGCAAACGAAACTCCACATATGGCTAAATAGTTTCTCGGCTCTATACTTTAGAAAGCCTAAGTTATTGAAAACCACATTTTTTGACTCGTCACCACCAGAAGCATGAAACTTTGCAGAAGTGTTTTATAAACCATAATGTTTGGGATATTGGCAGTTTGGAGGGACATCTAAACTATCATATCTGAGTGCCTCTGCAAAGACAGCGATTATGTATGAGTGATGGTGAAAGTGTTGAATAATAAAGTTTTTTTCTTTTTGGGTCACCCTGCCTCAGTGGGAAACGGCCATGTTAAAAAACTAACAAAAAAAGGTATTTTATGAAGATTCTCAACCTATCCACCCATGATGGCTGTTTTTCAGATTGGTGGCTACATACAAATTCACAAGTCATAATGATAATACTAAATTTTTTTTTATTTATTAACGCATTGACAGTTTCCCACCAAGGTAGGGTGGCCTGAAAAAGAAAAACTTTCACCATCATTCACTCCATCACTGTCTTGTCAGAGGTGCACTTACACTACAGTTATAAAACTGCAACATTAACACCCCTCCTTCAGAATGCAGGCACTGTACTTCCCATCTCCAGGACTCAAGTCCGGCCTGCCAGTTTCCCTGAATCCCTTTGTAAATATTACCCTGCTCACACTTCAACAGCATGTCAAGCCCTGTAAACCATTTATCTCCATTCACTCCTATCAAACACACTCACGCATGCTTGCTGGAAGTCCAAGCCCCTCGCACACAAAATCTCCTTTACCCCCTCCCTCCAACCTTTCCTAGGCCGACCCCTACCCTGTCTTCCCTCCACTACAGTTTTATACATTCTCAATGTCATTCTGTTTTCTTCCATCCTCTCTACATGTTTGAACCACCTCAGCAACCCCTCCTCAGCCCTCTGGATAGTAGTTTTGGTATTCCTGCACCTCCTCCTAATTTCCAGACTAGGAATTCTCTTCATTATATTCACACCACACATTGCCTTCATACATGACATCTCTACTGCCTCCAGCCTTCGTCTTGTTGCAACATTCACCACCCATGTTTCACACCCATATAAGAGCATTGGTATAACTATACTCTCATACATTCCCCTCTTTGCATCCATGGACAAAGTTCTTTGTCTCCACAGACTCCTAAGTGCACCACTCACCTTCCCCTCATCAATTTTATGATTCACCTCATTTTTCATAGACCCATCTGCTGATACGTCTACTCCTAAATACAGTGGACCCTTGGGTAACAACATTAATCCGTTCCAGAGAGCGTGTCTTTAACCAATTCTGTCGTTATCCGAATTAATTTTCCCCATAAGAAGTAATGGAAATCCAATTAATCCATTCCAGACACCCAAAAGTTTTAAACAAAATAATTTTTTACATGAAATATACATTTCCCTACACAGAAAACAATGAGACATGCAGAATAAACAATATTGAAATGACACTTACCTTTATTGAGGACTTATTGATGAGTGATGAGATAGGAGGAGGGCAGAGGATGGAGGAGCTTACAAGTGTTTGGAATGGGAATCCCCTTCCAGAAAGACTTTAGGTAACAAGTCCTTTTCTGGGGTTACCTCCCTTCTTTGTTTTTTAATGCCACTAGAACCAGCTTGAGAGTCACTGGACCCCTGTCGCACCAAAAATCTGTCCAGAGAGCTCTGTTTCTGGCGTCTCTTTAAGATTTCCCTAAAATGGGACAAAATATTGTCATTGTACATGTAGCCAATACAGCCTGCAACAGCTGTGTCAGGGTAATGTTCATCCATAAGTACTTGCACCTTTGTCCACATTGTACAAATATCCTTAACCTCACCATGCCTTATCACACTGTGTATGCCACTACAGTTCTTAAATCTCTCAAACCAGCCTTTTCTGGCCTTAAATTCATCAATATGAGCACTATTTGGAGGCATTTTCTTAATGAGATCTGCATGCAACTGCCTTGCCTTTTCACATATTATTGACTGAGAAACACCATCTCCTGATAATTGTTTCTCGGTGATCCACACCAACAACAGTCTCTCCACATCTTCGAGTATTTGCGATCTCTGTTTTGTAAGCATACTTGCACCATTCGCAACAAAAGCTTCCTTGATTGCCTTTTTTGTTGGCCAAGATAGTAGTGATGGTTGAATGGGGTTTATGTAACCTGGTCAATTCGGAGATACGCACTTCACTTTCATATTTTGCGATGATCTCATTCTTTAATTCAGTAGTATTTCTCACCCTCTATACCACAGGGCTGGCACTAGAAGCTTTCTGTGGGCCCATGGTGGCTTATTTACCAGTTACAAGCACTAAAAACAATGGAATAATACAAATGTCCACGTGGAATCATCCTCATTGGCTTGTAAACACACTGGCTGTACATGGAGTGGCCGGGCGGCTCAGGCCATGCAGACACGTTTGGGATGAATTTCCTTAACCGAGTTCTTTTTTGGTAACCGAGCCAATATTTTGACGCAAAAACGTGTCGCTATCCGATTTTTTTGTTATCGGATGACATTGTTACTCGAGGGTTCACTGTATCTGAATACATTCACCTCCTCCATATTCTCTACCTCCAATCTGATATCCAATCTTTCGTCACTTAATTTTTTTGTTATCCTCATCACCTTACTCTTTCCTATATTCACTTGTAATTTTCTTTTTTACATACCCTACCAAACTCATCGACTAACCTCTGCACCTTCTCTTCAGAATCTCCCAAAAGCATAGTGTCATCAGCAGAGAGCAACTGTGACAACTCCCACTTTGTGTTAGATTCTTTATTTTTTAACCCCACACCTCTTGCCAACACCCGAGCATTCATTTCTCTTACAATCCCGTCTATAAATATATTGAACAACCATGGTGACATCACACATCCTTGTCTAAGGCCTACTTTTACTGGGAAATAATCTCCCTCTCTCCTACGTACTCTAACCTGAGCGTCAATATCCTTGTAAAAACTCTTCACTGCTTTCAGTAACCTACCTCCTATTCTATACATTTGCAACATCTGCCACATTGCTCCCCTATCCACCCTGACATACTCCTTTTCCAAATCCATAAAAGCCACAAAAACCTCTTTACCCTCTCCTGTATGTTTCACTGGAAACACTTGGTCTACACACCCCCTACCTTTCCTAAAGCCTCCATATTCATCTGCTATCCTCCTAATTCTTTCAATAATAACTCTACCATACACTTTACCAGGTATACAAATGTCCTAATATTTGATTGCTAGGATATTTTTAATTTTTCTTTAACCTCTTAATAATTGAATACAGAAGAATGGGTTACTAGCCCCCTTCTGGTATTTTAGTTGCCTTTTACGTCACACATGACATACTATTGTAGAACTCTGTAGTTCACTATCATTGTTTTAGATTGGTTTGAATGTTAAAAAATGTTTTATAATTAATGCTGGAGTGTGAGTAGGATCACTTATATGAAGGAATTAAGGAAAACTGGTTAGCTGAACTTGAGTCTTAGAGGTGGAAAGGGCAGTGCCAGCACTCTGATGTTGGGGTGGAGATGTTGCAGCCTGAGGGGTAATTAGACTGTGATACTAGCACACTTCTGGAAAGACAGTGATTGAGTGAATGTTGGGAAATGCACTTTCTTCCTTACATCATCCTGGCCTTGGTGGGAGATGGCCAATGAGTTAAAAAATTAAAGAATTCAATTTCTTTGCAGAGCAACGAGACATTCAAGATGTACGAGAAAAGGTCTCAATTAAGGTTCAAGGTCTTCACCGTCTTCAGTTAGAATGGAAATATGATGAATATTTTGTAGAAGCACAGTTGTTTCATGGATCAAGATGCATTGGTCAGCCTGTCCACACTCCTACCAAGAGGGTTACCGATGATCCCAAGTTTTATCAAAAAATTATATTCAATCGATGGTAAGAGCTCATGTGTATACGCATGATTTTTATTAACTTTAATGTAATTCTAGAAATAAAAAGTTTTTATTATGTAAAAATTATACAGAAAGTTAAATAGTAAAGGGGTGCTCATATCCACACCACATGTGGTTTGGACATGAGCCAGAGTTAAGTACTTGTAAACTAGCAGTTGCTGCTGCAATTGCCCACCATTAGGTTAATGGCCATCCTTTTTTGCAAATGTCTGTAGACAGTGCCATCTTTAGGAAGCCAAAAGTATATGCAGTATATACAACTATAAGAAGGTAACCAAAAAGTTCCAAGGTAGACAGCAGCTGCCAAGTGAGTGTGAAACAGAAGCTCGTAATTTTTTTACATGATGTTAGGATTGCTTGTGTCTTTTTTCTGTCTCGTACACATGTTGCTTCTTAAACTTAAGTCACACTACACATGCATGTACAAGTGTATACATGTATACAATGGACCCCCGCATACCGTCGGCATCACATAACGTACAATCCGCATACCGCTCGCTTTTATCGCAAAAATTTTGCATCGCATACCGCTCAAAAACCCGCTCACTGCTCTTCGTCCGAGACGCGTCCAATGTGCGCCCTTAGCCAGTATCACATGTGCCGCCGGTGGCATTGTTTACCAGCCAGCCTCCGCGGTAACATCCAAGCATACAATCGGAACATTTCGTATTATTACAGTGTTTTTGGTGATTTTATCTGCAAAATAAGTGACCATGGGCCCCAAGAAAGCTTCTAGTGCCAACCCTACAGCAATAAGGGTGAGAATTACTATAGAGATAAAGAAAGAGATCATTAATAAGTATGAAAGCGGAGTGCATGTCGCCAACCTGGCCAGGTTGTACAAGAAACCCAAATCAACCATCGCTACTATTGGTGGTACAGCTGCTGCTGCTGCTGCTGCTGTACCACCGTCAGCTGCTGCTGCACTGTCAGCTGCTGCTGCTGCTGTAGCACCGTCAGCTGCTGCTGCTGTTGTACCACCGTCAGCTGCTGCTGCTGCTGCTGTAGTACCGTCTGCTGCTGCTGTAGCATCGTCTGCTGCTGCTGTAGCATCGTCTGCTGCTGCTGCTGTTGTACCACCGTCAGCTGCTGCTGCTGCTGCTGTAGTACCGTCTGCTGCTGCTGTAGCATCGTCTGCTGCTGCTGTAGCATCGTCTGCTGCTGCTGCTGTTGTACCACCATCAGCTGCTGCTGCTGCTGCTGTAGCACTGTTGTTGGTGTGGCTTATTGAGAATACCAAGAAACAATTAACCCCAGAGGATTTGCCACCCAGGATAACCCAAAAAAGGTCAGTGTCATCGAAGACTGTCTAACTTATTTCCATTGGGGTCCTTAATCTTGTCTCCCAGGATGCAACCCACACCAGTCGACTAACACCCAGGTGAACAGGGAAAAATGCCTGGAACTAGTGCTCATATTGGTGAATTTAAAGCCAGCAAAGGTTGGTTTGAGAGATTTAAGAATCGTAGTGGCATACAGTGTGATAAGGCCTGTTCTGGAAGAAAATGCCAAACAGGACCTACAGTACTCAGGAGGAAAAGGCACTCCCAGGACACAGTGTCTCATCAGTCATTGCTGCATCTTCAATAAAGGTAAGTGTCATTTATTCTTCATTTAGTAGAGTAGTACATGCACAATATATATTGTGCATGTACTACTCTACTATTGTGCATGTATCCTTCTCTTTGTGTGTAGGAAAATGTATATTTCATGTGGTAAAAATTTTTTTTTCATACTTTTGGGTGTCTTGCACGGATTAATTTGATTTCCATTATTTCTTAAGGGGAAAATTCATTCGCATACCAATCATTTCGCATAACAATGAGCCCTCTTGCACGGATTAAAGTCGCTATGCGGGGGTCCACTGTATACACACACACCTCTGGGTTTTCTTCTATTTTTTACCAGTTCTTGTTCTTGTTTATTTCCGCTTATCTCCATGGGGAAATGGAACAGAATTCTTCCTCCATAAGCCATGTGTGTCATAAGAGGTGACTAAAATGCCGGGAGCAGGGAACTAGTAACCTCCTCTAAATTTAAAAAGAGAAACTTTCATTTTTCTTTTTTATGTCACCCTGCCTCAGTGGGCTATGGCCAATTTGTTGAAAGGAGGAGGAGGGAAGAATCAGAAAGTTGTTTTGGAAAAGCCATAATAGACAAGAACAAGACAGAGCTAGATATTTATTCACTTGTAAAATGCAAACAAGGTGAAAGACAACGCAAATAATTAGAGACTTGGAGGAGGAAGATTGTGAGAATAAATAAGAAACTCAGGAGTGCAGTTACAGGGGACTTGTTAGATGGACTGAAATTGAACCAAGAGCATCAGGTTGATATGGTCCTTACTGAAATATCAAGCAAAAATGCAAAGATAAAGTTATGGTATTGGATATTGAAAATACTGCAAAGCAATAGGACATGTTGAGTTGTTACCATGGATTTAAAAGGGTGTGCTTAAAATTTAAGCTACCCAATTGGGGATTTTATTTTCATTACAAGAAGGTAAAATGGAATGCAAATGAAAAATGGCACACAGGCTAATGTTTCAAGTTTAAAAGAAAGCTTCTTTATACTTGGAGAGAAGAAATATGCTAACAAACTTTTTTAATCAGCAAATTTCTGATCATGGTGATTCAAGCCTGGCTGACCCAGTATTTTCACAGCAGAGTTGTATGTTCTTCTTATGGCTACCATGTATATAATTTTTTCTTGTCTTGAATTCAAAATGCTTTGTCCTTATATTATAAGTAAAATAAACAATGTGGAAGACAAAGATAGTTGTATAAAAACACCAAGGAATGTCATAAAAATATGTATACTTATGTTAGATTTTCAATAGATAATTTTTAAAGAAAGATTATACAAGAATTTACTGTTGCAGTGTTAGGTAAAGCATGACTTCATAGTGAATTATTTGAAAAAGAGATCTAATATTTATCTACACAGTGCCTCTTAGAGTCAGACTACAGATAACTAGTATTCTAAAAATGGCAGAGATTGTTTAGACAAATTGTGGACTAACTGAATGGTCACTGAATATTATATCTGATTATAGCCTTTGAACCAAGTGAGAGAGTAATTGTGGTAGGGGACCTGAATGCTAAAGTAGGAGAAACTTTTAGAGAGTGTGTGGTAGGTAAGTTTGGGGTGCCAGGTATAAATGATAATGGGAGCCCTTTGATTGAACTTTGTATAGAAAGGGGTTTAGTTATAGGTAATACATATTTTAAGAAAAAGAGGATAAATAAGTATACAAGATATGATGTAGGGCGAAATGACAGTAGTTTGTTGGATTATGTATTGGTAGATAAAAGACTGTTGAGTAGACTTCAGGATGTACATGTTTATAGAGGGGCCACAGATATATCAGATCACTTTCTAGTTGTAGCTACACTGAGAGTAAAAGGTAGATGGGATACAAGGAGAATAGAAGCATCAGGGAAGAGAGAGGTGAAGGTTTATAAACTAAAAGAGGAGGCAGTTAGGGAAAGATATAAACAGCTATTGGAGGATAGATGGGCTATTGAGAGCATAGGCAATGGGGTCCAGAGGTATGGGGTAGGTTTAAAAATGTAGTGTTAGAGTGTTCAGCAGAAGTTTGTGGTTACAGGAAAGTGGGTGCGGGAGGGAAGAGGAGCGATTGGTCGAATGATGATGTAAACGAGTAGTAAGGGAGAAAAAGTTAGCATATGAGAAGTTTTTACAAAGTAGAAGTGATGCAAGGAGGGAAGAGTATATGGAGAAAAAGAGAGAGGTTAAGAGAGTGGTGAAGCAATGTAAAAAGAGAGCAAATGAGAGAGTGGGTGAGATGTTATCAACAAATTTTGTTGAAAATAAGAAAAAGTTTTGGAGTGAGATTAAAAAGTTAAGGAAGCCTAGAGAACAAATGGATTTGTCAGTTAAAAATAGGAGAGGAGAGTTATTAAATGGAGAGTTAAAGGTATTGGGAAGATGGAGGGAATATTTTGAGGAATTGTTAAATGTTGATGAAGATAGGGAAGCTGTGATTTCGTGTACAGGGCAAGGAGGGATAACATCTTGTAGGAGTGAGGAAGAGCCAGTTGTGAGTATGGGGGAAGTTCGTGAGGCAGTAGGTAAAATGAAAGGGGGTAAGGCAGCTGGGATTGATGGGATAAAGATAGAAATGTTAAAAGCAGGTGGGGATATAGTTTTGGAGTAGTTGGTGCAATTATTTAATAAATAAATAACAAAAAGGCACAATACCGTGACTGGAACGATACACAAATAACCCGCACATAAAAGACAGAAGCTTACGACGACGTTTCGGTCCGACTTGGACCATTGACAAAGTCAATGGTCCAAGTCGGACCGAAACGTCGTCGTAAGCTTCTGTCTTTTATGTGCGGGTTATTTGTGTATATTTAATAAATGTATGGAAGAGGGTAAGGTACCTAGGGATTGGCAGAGAGCATGCATAATTCCTTTATATAAAGGCAAAGGGGACAAAAGAGAGTGCAAAAATTATAGGGGGATAAAGTCTGTTGAGTATACCTGGTAAAGTGTATGGTAGAGTTATTATTGAAAGAATTAAGAGTAAGACGGAGAATAGGATAGCAGATGAACAAGGAGGCTTTAGGAAAGGTAGGGGTTGTGTGGACCAGGTGTTTACAGTGAAACACATAAGTGAACAGTATTTAGATAAGGCTAAAGAGGTCTTTGTGGCCTTTATGGATTTGGAAAAGGCGTATGACAGGGTGGATAGGGGGGCAATGTGGCAGATGTTGCAGGTGTGTGGTGTAGGAGGTAGGTTACTGAAAGCAGTGAAGAGTTTTTACGAGGATAGTGAGGCTCAAGTTAGAGTATGTAGGAAAGAGGGAAATTATTTCCCAGTAAAAGTAGGCCTTAGACAAGGATGTGTGATGTCACCGTGGTTGTTTAATATATTTATAGATGGGGTTGTAAGAGAAGTAAATGCGAGGGTCTTGACAAGAGGTGTGGAGTTAAAAGATAAAGAATCACACATAAAGTGGGAGTTGTCACAGTTGCTCTTTGCTGATGACACTGTGCTCTTGGGAGATTCTGAAGAGAAGTTGCAGAGATTGGTGGATGAATTTGGTAGGGTGTGCAAAAGAAGAAAATTAAAAGTGAATACAGGAAAGAGTAAGGTTATGAGGATAACAAAAATATTAGGTGAAGAAGGATTGGATATCAGATTGGAGGGAGAGAGTATGGAGGAGGTGAATGTATTCAGATATTTGGGAGTGGACGTGTCAGCGGATGGGTCTATGAAGGATGAGGTGAATCATAGAATTGATGAGGGGAAAAGAGTGAGTGGTGCACTTAGGAGTCTCTGAAGACAAAGAACTTTGTCCTTGGAGACAAAGAGGGGAATGTATGAGAGTATAGTTTTACCAACGCTCTTATATGGGTGTGAAGCATGGGTGATGAATGTTGCAGCGAGGAGAAGGCTGGAGGCAGTGGAGATGTCATGTCTGAGGGCAATGTGTGGTGTGAATATAATGCAGAGAATTCGTAGTTTGGAAGTTAGGAGGAGGTGCGGGATTACCAAAACTGTTGTCCAGAGGGCTGAGGAAGGGTTGTTGAGGTGGTTCGGACATGTAGAGAGAATGGAGCGAAACAGAATGACTTCAAGAGTGTATCAGTCTGTAGTGGAAGGAAGGCGGGGTAGGGGTCGGCCTAGGAATGGTTGGAGGGAGGGGGTAAAGGAGGTTTTGTGTGCGAGGGGCTTGGACTTCCAGCAGGCATGCGTGAGCGTGTTTGATAGGAGTGAATGGAGACGAATGGTTTTTAATACTTGACGTGCTGTTGGAGTGTGAGCAGGGTAACATTTATGAAGGGGTTCAGGGAAACCGGCAGGCCGGACTTGAGTCCTGGAGATGGGAAGTACAGTGCCTGCACTCTGAAGGAGGGGTGTTAATGTTGCAGTTTAAAAACTGTAGTGTAAAGCACCCTTCTGGCAAGACAGTGATGGAGTGAATGATGGTGAAAGTTTTTCTTTTTCGGGCCACCCTGCCTTGGTGGGAATCGGCCAGTGTGATAATAAATGAATACAGTGGGCCCCCGGTTAACGATATTTTTTCACTCCAGAAGTATGTTCAGGTGCCAGTACTGACCGAATTTGTTCCCATAAGAAATATTGTGAAGTAGATTAGTCCATTTCAGACCCCCAAACATACACGTACAAACGCACTTACATAAATACACTTACATAATTGGTCGCATTCGGAGGTAATCGTTATGAGGGGGTCCACTGTATAGCAATTCGTAGTTCGGGAATTAGGAGAAGGTGTGGGATTACCAAAGCTATTATCCAGAGGGCTGAGGAGGGGTTGTTGAGGTGGTTCGGACATGTAGAGAGAATGGAACAAAACAGAATGACTTCGAGAGTGTATAAATCTGTAGTGGAGGGAAGGAAGGGTAGGGGTCGGCCTAGGAAGGGTTGGAGGGAGGGGGTAGAGAAGGTTTTGTGTGTGAGGGGCTTGGACTTCCAGCAAGCGTCCATGAGCGTATTTGATAGGAGTGAATGGAGACAAATGGGTTTTAATATTTGACATGCTGTTGGAGTGTGAGAAAGTAACGTTTATGAAGGGATTCAGGGAAACCGGCAGGCCAGACTTGAGTCCTGGAGATGGGAAGTACAGTGTCTACACTGTGAAGGAGGGGTGTTAATGTTGCAGTTTTATAACTGTAGTGTAAAGCATCCTTCTGGCAAGACAGTGATGGAGTGAATGATGGTGAAAGTTTTTCTTTTTCGGGCCACCCTGCCTTGGTGAGAATCGGCCGATGTGTTAATAAAATTAATAAAAAAATATAGCATTATTTATTTTATATGGTTAATGATGTTTTAATATTTAAGGACGACAACTTCTTGCTTGGTTAAGATGAATGATGCTGCAGATTCTGCTGTGTATTTGCTTGTTACACCTATTGCCTTTAAAAGATTATATTAAAAGGAGTACAGAAGATTAATTTGAAACACACAAATTAAAAGCATATGAAATTCTTGAAGGTTATATATTATACTCTGACAGGTTGGATTTAGGGGCTCGTGTAAACACATTACCAAGAGAAAGTCGTCTAGTCCTAACAGTCTTTGGCCTAAAAGTTGTTGAAGCAGAAAATAAAGTTGAACAACCTCAGTACCTCAGGGAAGAACTTGGCTGGGCTGCCATACAGTGTTTCTCCTTTGAAGGGTAAGCCATCAACTACATTATTTCTTTAATGATTATGTGTTTGTGGAGTGTTGACCATGACAATAGAGATTGAAAGATTCAGAGCTCACTTAGATAACAAGTTGACATATGCAATATATAAACCTTGCTTAATGAAGTTTTAATGATGTTGACATGCTGCAGGTGATAGTAGGTAAAGCCTTTTTTGTACCATACCCTTAGTTTTCTAATATACAGTACTTAGGTAAGTATTGCAGCAGCGTGGCCATGGCAGGCAAACATGAAAATAAATTGAAGCTGACATGCTGTGTGTTTATAGGAGGTAGCATAAGCTCAATTCCTAGTTAATGTTTATATTTTTAATTATCTAAGCACGGCTTGCATAAGTATGTATTTTTGCCATGTGTTGATATACAGTATTACATTTTACCCATGGCAACAGAAATTCAAAAAAAGGGCAAAAGTGATAAGTCTTACAAAGATGCAAAGATTAAGAGGAAGACCCTTCAACACACATGAATTTGACTGTGGATTTAGATTGTGAAAAAGAGTATGGCAGATATTTTCATTAAAAATCCATGTTCAAGAACTTATTTTTCTGATAGCTGGCTACTAAACTTGAAATATAGTTATGGCATTAACACACTTTTCACATTGAAAAAGCAACACCTAAGAAAATCCAAGATATCTACTCTTAACCCTTTGACTGTTGCAAGCCCCTTTCTGAAACTGTCATTCTATGTAGCAAAATTTTTGGGAAAAAAAAAAAATTATTTTTTCTTATGAAATGATAGAGAATCTTTTCCCGATGGTAATGACACCAAATGTACAAAATTTGGTCGAAAACTCACGGAATTACGCTCCCACGAAGTTAGTGGTCTCGGTGACGTATATGCATTGGCGATTTCGCCGACTTTGAGCCCTATTTTTGGCCAATTCTGTTGGTCCAGTTGACCAAACTCAAGCTATTTCTTTAGAACACCATTTTTTCTATCGGTTGAGTACAAGAAAACGCCCATTTACTGATTTGAACTACCCAATAAAATGGTCAGAAATTGGTAATTTGGCCAATTTCATGCAAATTAAAAAAGATGCCAATTTCAAAATAGGGTACAGAATAAACCATGTAGACATTCTTGGCACTAAAATAACATATCCTCTGTTCATTAGTCACGTCTCTAGGCCCCTCTTATATTACTATTGCTTTCTATTTTGATTTTTTATTTATACAAAAAATTCAAAATTTACTGTTATGCAGACTATTGCATTATTGTAAAATTGGTATAAATACTATCAGTGCACTAGTGAAAAAATATTAGACTCCCCAGTTTACGTGTATTGGACGTGTGGTGTGATTTGCTTACTCCTGAGCATTGGTAAAAATCGAACATTTCCACTACTTTGAGCTCAATTTCAAGGTTGTTTTCATCATGAAACTAATCAAAATCATCTCTATTTCTGTAGTATGTTTTCCATTTTATCATGTGAGACCATGAAAATGAGAATATAATGATAAATACTAAACGAAAATATACACCTCAAAGTTGGCGTTTTAATAAAAAAAACGGTCAGTTTTTTTCCTCGTTATGCACTGCGTGCTGCAGGATTTTTTTTATGCGGTGCACACTGACCACACAGACCCATTCTCTCACATGTGGGCCTACCAGCTCTCTCCTGCTTGATTTGAAGCCGCTAAAATTTACTTGAATAAATACGTCCGAAACAGTGGCGCGTAAGACGTATATATACGACCAAAACAGTCAAAGGGTTAATTACTAACTCTGGATATCTAATGCATGTTTTTGCTATAATAATAATAGGCTTTTTTGTTAAATAATCTGTTCCTTTTTATGGTTATCTGTTTTAATATGTTTATCTGTATATGTTGATCTGTTTTGCATAGTAGGAACTTAGAGGAATGCTTGGATTAACTAATTTATTTTTTGAAGACATTAAACACCCATGCAGTTATTCAAAAAATCAGAGTAATGAGACATCAGCTGGTTCTTAACAATTCAGATAACTTGATTTGTACTTCAATAACATCTAGAGTACAGTAAAATATTTTGTGTGTGTGGGAGGGGGGTAAAAGATTAAGAGAGTGGTGAGGGAGTGTAAAAGGGGAGCAGATGAGAGAGAATGTGAGGTTCTGTCAACAAATTTTGCTTAGAATAAGAAAATGCTTTGAAATGAGATTAATAAATTGAGAAAGAATAGGGAACAAATGGATTTAACATCTAAAAGATGATGAGTTGGAGATATTGGGAAGATGGTGGGGATATTGTGAAGAGCTACTAAATATTAATGAAGAGGAGGCAGGGAGGTACAACAACCTTTAGGAGTGAGGAAGAGCCAGGTGTGAGAGTGGAGAAGGTGTGTGAGGTAATGGGTAAAATGGAAAGGGGTACAGCAGTTGGGATTGATGGTATTAAGACAGAAATGTTAAAAGCAGGAGGAGATATAGTTTTTGAGTGGTTGGTACTTGTGTTCAGTAAATGTATGAAAGAGGGAAAAGTACCTAAGGATTGGCAGAAAGCATGCATTGTTCCATTGTATAAAGGAAAGGGGGACAAACAAGTGTAAAAATTATAGGAGAATAAGCCTGTTGAGTATACTAGGTAAAGTGTATGGTAGTCATAATTGAAAGAATTAAAGATAAGATGGAGAACAGAATCACAGATGAACAAGGAGGCTTTAGAAGGGGTAGGGAATGTGTAGACCAAGTGTCTATGTTGAAACATATAAGTGAACAATATTTACATAAAGATAAGGAAGATTATTTACAATTATGGATATAGAAAAGGCATATGATAGGGTGGATAGGTGAGGAATCTGGCAGATGGTGCAAGTTTGTGGAATAGGTGGTATGTTACTTAATGCTGTTAGTTTTTATGATGATAGTAAGGCTCAGGTTAGGGTACATAGGAGAAAGGGAGACTATTTTCCAATAAAAATAGGCCTGGACAGGGATGCTTGATGTCACCATGTTTAACATATAGAAGGGGTTGTAAAAGAACTGGGGAAAGGGGTGGGATTAAAATGTATCGAATCTATTACAAAGTGAGAGTTGTCACCATTACTTTTTGCTGATGATACTCTACTTTTGGGAGATTCTGAAAAGAAGTTGCGAAGGTCGGTGGATAAATTTGGAAGGGTATGTCAAAAAAGGAAATTAAAAAGAAATAGGAAAGAGCAGGATGATGAGGGTAACAAAAAAATCTAAGTAATGAAAGGCCGTATATCAGATTGGAAGGAAGGAGTATGGTAGAAGTGAATGTGTTCAGATATATGGGAGTGGACTTGTTGGAAGCTGAGTTTACAAAAGACAAGGTGAACCCATGGAACTGATGAGGGGGAAAAGGTGGATGGAGCATTGAGGCATCTGTGGAGACAAAAAGCATTGTGGGGCAAAAAGGGGAAGGTATGAGACCATAGTGGTACCAACACTAATATGGGTGTGTAGTATGGGTTATGAATGTTTCAGAGAGGAAGAGGCTGGAGACAGTCGAGATGTCATGCCTGAGGGTAAAGTGTGGCGTAAATATTATGCAGAGAATTTGTAGTTTGAAGATTAAGAGGTGTGGGGTTACTAATAGTATTATCCAGAGAGCTGAAGAAGGGTTGTTGAGGTGGTTTGGATATTTAGAGATGATGGAGCAAAATAGGATGACTTGGAGGGTGTATAAATCTGTAGTTGAGGGAAAGGTTGGTAGGAAAGGTTGAAGAGAGGGAGTAAAGAGGGTTTTGTATTCAAGAGGCTTTGACATCTAGCAGGCATACTTTGTGAGTGTGTTAAGAAAGAAGTGGAGGCAAATGGTTTTTGGGACTTGATGAGCTGTTGAAGTGTGAGCAAGGTAACATTTTGTGAAGGAATTCAGGGAAATAAGTTAGCCAAACTTGAGTCCTGGAGGCAGGAAGTACAGTGCCTGCACTCTGAAGAAAGGGTAGGGATATTTGTAGTTTGCATAGGCATTTTAACTGTGTATCAGCATGCCTCTGGCAAGACAGTGAAAGAGTGAGTGAGTGTATTTATTTTTGTATCCTTTATAGGCATCTTACCCAAGGATATCATCTGCTTACACTGTGGCCAATGGCAAGTGACCGAAGACTTGGCCCTGCTCCTTATTCCTCAGATCATCCCCAAGTTCATGGCTGTGCTGTTCTTTGTAAGTTTGCCGAGACATTTTTTGGATTGCATGTCTGTAAGATTCTCTCTATTCTCACCTACAAAGGAGCTATGTAATTACCGTATATTACTGTCCATAAGTTGCATTTATTTCTAAATAAATATACCTAAATTTATACCCTAGTTTTATGAATGCATACCCTAAAAAATACATTTAAAATAATTAAAAAAGTACATAAGATCTCCAATCCACCCTTTCTTCTTATATATTTATTCAACTTATTTTTAAAACGACCCAATTTTTTTATGATTTTTGTGGCCCCAACACCCTTGTGCCCTCATGACCACAAAAAATATTTGGATGGTATGTACACAAATCCTAAATAATAAACATGAGGGAGAAGCAGTGGAAGGGATGAAATGAAGGAGGAGCAGTGGTCATGTGGAAGAAGCAGAGGGAGTGTGGGAGCCAGTGATGGTGGCACCCAGATGACACCAGTTAAGCTTGGGGCATAACTTCGTTTATCACTGCCTACTTGTTTAACAACCAAACAGATGCATTACAGTAGTTACTGTACAGGAGGGCCCCTTTTTATGGCATTTTGCAGATAAGCATTATTCAGTTACACTCATTCTTCATTTATTCAGACTTCATATCGTTATATAATTGTCACTCACTGTAAGCTTAGGATGAAAATATTTTAAGGAAAAGTGTGTACTGTAATGTGTTTTTTAGGCCTAGCTCTATAGCTCACTTAATATATGATAATATAAGCATGTTATCAGGTTTTTAGATACATATGAAAGTGAAAAAAGTCTGTTTTACTTTACAGCAATTTTTCGCTTTACAGCAGTAGCCCGAATCCTAGCCTGCTGTATAATCAGGGCCCACCTGTATTCACATTTTATCCAGGTTCCTTTCCTTTTAACTTTAATTATGTAAATAAAGTGAAATAAGGGATATATAAATACAGTGGACCCTCGACCAACGATGGCATCGACTAACGTTAAATTCGACTAACGATACATGTTAACGCTAACATGTTGCCTCGACTAACGTTAAAAAAACTCGACTAACGATAATCGTTCTCGGGTACCAATTAATATTGTTAGTCGAGGGTCCACTGTACTGGTTCATCCCCATTCCCTTCAGGATCACAATGTGTGTAGCCATAACCTGTGACTTTTTAATTATTTTTTTTTTTCTATTATCACACTGGCCGATTCCCACCAAGGCAGGGTGGCCTGAAAAAGAAAACTTTCACCATCATTCACTCCATCACTGTCTTGCCAGAAGGGTGCTTTACACTACAGTTTTTAAACTGCAACATTAACACCCCTCCTTCAGAGTGCAGGCACTGTACTTCCCATCTCCAGGACTCAAGTCCGGCCTGCCGGTTTCCCTGAACCCCTTCATAAATGTTACTTTGCTCACACTCCAACAGCACGTCAAGTATTAAAAACCATTCGTCTCCATTCACTCCTATCAAACACGCTCACGCACGCCTGCTGGAAGTCCAAGCCCCTCGCACACAAAACCTCCTTTACCCCCTCCCTCCAACCTTTCCTAGGCTGACCCCTACCCCACCTTCCTTCCACTACAGACTGATACACTCTTGAAGTCATTCTGTTTGGCTCCATTCTCATGTAGAGAGAATGGAGCCAAACAGAATGACTTCAAGAGTGTATCAGTCTGTAGTGGAAGGAAGGCGGGGTAGGGGTCGGCCTAGGAAAGGTTGGAGGGAGGGGGTAAAGGAGGATTTGTGTGCGAGGGGCTTGGACTTCCAGCAGGCGTGCGTGAGCGTGTTTTAATTATTCATCATAAAATATAAGTTTAATGACCTAACTGTAGCACAAACTACTACTGCAGTAGTAGTTTTTAACTGACAAATCCATACTTTCCCTTGGCTTTCTTAACTTGTTTAACTCACTCCAAAATTGACAAAAGTGACTGAAGCTAAGCCATACACACTTGTTTATCACAATCATATTGATGCATGGTGTGTATAGTGTATGTACTATATTGATGCAGTATATCTTGTTTTCTCTCATTTCAACCCTAATTTTGCAAATGGAGGAAAGTAGGCAGGTGGTCCCTCAGGATCAGAACATGTGCACTCATAACCTTTGACTTGTTAATGTTACATAAAATATGAGTAACAACTAAACTGATGCACACTTCACATGCACAAAGTACTGTACGTATTTACATTATTTTCAGTTTGATTTTATTTAAGCCTTGAATACACAAATGAAGTCTCTCTGAATTTGTATTTTTTTTTTTTAACACTGGCTGTTTCCCACCGAGCCAGGTTGACCCAAAAAGAAAGAAAAACCTAAAAAGAAAGAAAAATACTTTTATCATCATTCAACATTTTCACCATTACTCATACATAATCACTGTCTTTGCAGAGGCACTCAAATACGACAGTTTAGAAGTCCCTCCAAACTGCCAGTATTCCAAACCCCCTCCTAAAAAGTGCAGGCATTGCACTTCCCATTTCCAGTGTTCAAGTCCGGCTGACCTGTTTCCCTGAATCCCTTCACAAAATATTACCCTACTCACATTCCAACAGCTTGTCAGGTCCCAAAAAAGCCATTCGTTTCCATTCACTCCTGTCTAACATGCTCACACATGCTTGTTGGAAGTCCAAACCCCTTGCTCACAAAACTTCCCTTACCCCTTCCTTCCAACTTTTTCGAGGACGACCCCTACCCCGCCTTCCTTCTCCTACAGATTTAAATGTTCTCCATGTCATTCTACTTTGATCCATTCTCTCTAAATGACCAAACTACCTCAACAACCCCTCTTCAGCCTTCTGACTAATACTTTTAGTAACTCCACACCTAATTTCCACACTCCGAATCCTCTGCATAATATTTACACCACACATTGCCCTTAGACACAACATCTCCATTGCCTCCTCACCACAGCATTTACAACCCAAGCTTCACACCCATATAAGAGTGTTGGTACCACTCTACTTTCGTACATTCCCTTCTTTGCCTCCATGGATAACGTTTTTTTGTCTCCACAGATACCTCAACGCACCACTCACCTTTTTTTCTTCATCAATACTATGGTTAATCTCATCTTTCATAAACACATCTGCTGACAAGTCAACTTCCAAATATCTGAAAACATTCACCTCTTCCATACTCCCTCTCTCCAATGTGATATCCAATTTTTCTTTATCTAAATCGTTTGATGCCCTCGTTACCTTACTCTTATCTATGCTCACTTTCAACTTTCTGCCTCTACACACCCTCCAAAAATCATCCACTAACCTTTGCAACTTTTCTTTAGAATCTCCCAAAAGCACAATATCATCAGGAAAAAGTAACTGAGTCAACTCCCATTTTGTATTTGATTCCCCATAATTTAATCCCACCCCTTTCCCCAACACTCTAGCATTTACCTCTTTTACAATCCCATCTATAACTATATTAAACAACCATGGTAGGTTGGTAGACAGCAACCACTCAGGTAGGTACTACCATCATACCAAGTGAGTGTAAAATGGAAGCCTGTATTCCTTTTACATGATGGTAGGATTGCTTGTGTCTTTTTTCTGTCTTATAAACATGCAAGATTTCAGGTATGTCTTGCTACTTCTCCTTGCAGATAGGTCAAATTACACATGACATGTACACATTTATGTATACACACTCATCTGAGTTTTCTTTGATTTTACCTTAATAGTTCTTGTTCTTATTGTTCCATGTGTGTTGTAAAAATCAACTAAAATGCCAGGAGCAATGGGCTAGAAACCCCTTTTCCCATATAACTTACTAAAAAGAAGAAAACCATCTGAATTTGTATGGGGGTCCCAAAATACTTTCAAGTATCGATGTAACTCATGAGCTACATGGGTACAAGTATCCATGTAGCTCATTCACGTATCCATGTAGCTCATTTAATTTCCTACTATGTCCCCTTGTTCTTGTTATATCCCTGGTAGAGAGCTTATCCTTGTCTTACCTCTCTGTGCCTTGTAGAAATTTGTATACCATGACCCTCTTGTTTTTCTCTCCAGTAACATAAGGTTTACTGCCTTTATTTTCTTACTAGTTGTATTATATTTTGTGTGCCTATTATGTAATGTACATTGATGTGTATTATGTAATGTACAAATTTCTGTAATTTTCTCAGCTGTGGAGTTGATGGATTTTGGAGGTGATGTGGTCTTCCCAAAAATTACTCCATTAGAACCAACCAAGCTGGAGTTCTCATCCTTGGATGTAAACACTCAGCAGCTTCTCTCTGATATCATAGAGAGAGACATCTTTACTTTCAATAAGTATGTCTTATATAAGCATTTTTTTTTTTTTTTTTTTTTTTTTTTTTTAACAAGTCGGTCGTCTCCCACCGAGGCAGGGTGACCCAAAAAAAAGAAAGAAAATCCCCAAAAAGAAAATACTTTCATCATCATTCAACACTTTCACCACACACACACATTATCACTGCTTTTGCAGAGGTGCTCAGAATACAACAGTTTAGAAGCATATACGTATAGAGATACACAACATATCCCTCCAAACTGCCAATATCCCAAACCCCTCCTTTAAAGTGCAGGCATTGTACTTCCCATTTCCAGGACTCAAGTCCGACTATATATATGTATATTTTCACTTCATTAAAATTAGGAAAATGTTTGTTCTACAAAATTGATACTGTATTACTATATGGTGTTTGTGGAGTGGGATTCAGGGAAAACTGGTTAGTTGGACTTGAGTCCTAGGGGTGGGAGGTACACTTTAAAGGAAAGGTGAGGATGTTGCAGTTCAGAGGGTCATTTGAACCATAATGTAAGCATGCTTCTAGCAAGATGGATTGATTGAATGTTGGTGAATGTTTTTCCTCCTTTTTTTTTTTTTTTTCTCCCTGCCTCAGTGGGAGACAGTGGGTATGTTAAGAGAAAATTGTTACTGTTGCATTATTGCAGGTGCATACAAACCTATCCCTGCAGGTCATTGCACTTGTCAACTACTGTACACTTTTTTCAACTGCAATAATCTGTTGTTAACTACAATAATCTGTTGCTAATTAGAATAATTTGTTGTTAACTACAGTATGTGTCATGTTCACTGCAATATATGTCATGTTAACTACAGTATGTCATATTTACAGAATTCTGCTGCTAGCTCCAGTATTCTGTTGCTGACTATAGTATTGTTATTATATCAGCACTACTAATTACAGTAATTGATTAAATGATGCTGGCTCTGGTATGCTAATGTTAACTCCAGTATTCTGCTGCTAACTTAAATATTCTGTTGTTAACTCCAGCACAGTGTTGTTAACTCCAGCACAGTGTTAACTCCAGCACAGTCTTGTTAACTCAAGCACAGTGTTGTTAACTCCAGTACACTGTTAACTACAATATTCTGTTGTTAACTTCAGTAATTTTTCTTCTTTTGCATTTAGTAATTTATACAGAAGGGATTACTAGCCCCTCTCTCACAGAATTTTAGTCACCTTTTATGGCATGCATGGCTTACAGAGGAAGGATTCTACTCCACTTCCCAATGAAGATGGTAGGTTGGTAGACAGCAACCACCCAGGGAGGTACTACTGTCCTGCCAACTGAGTGTAAAACAAAAGCCTGTAATTGTTTTACATGATGGTAGGATTGCTGGTGTCTTTTTTCAGTCTCATAAACATGCAAGATTTCAGGTACGTCTTGCTACTTCTACTTACACTTAGGTCACACTACACATACATGTACACGTTTATGTATACCCACTCATCCGAGTTTTCTTTGATTTTATCTAAATAGTTCTTGTTCTTATTGCTTCTCCTTTTATATCCATGGGGAGGTGGAATAAGAACCTTGTCTCTGTAAGCCATGCGTGTTGTAAAAGTCAGATAAAATGCCGAACAATGGGCTAGTAACCCCTTTTCCCATATAGCCTACTAGAAAGAAAAAGAAAAGATGTGAGTGGTGCATTTGAGGTACATGTAGAGACAAAAATTTTTATCTATAGAGGCAAAGAAGGGAATGTATGAAAGTATAGTGGTACCAACACTTGTGTGGGTGTGAAGCTTGGGTTGTAAATGCTTGCAGCGAGGAGGCGGTTGGAGGCAGTGGAGATGTCCTGTCTAAGGGTAGTGTGTGATGTAAATATGCAGAAAATTCGGAGTGTGGAAATTAGGAGAAGGTGTGGAGTTAGTAAAAGTATTAGTCAGAGGGCTGAACAGGAGTTGTTGAGGTAGTTTGGACATTTAGAGAGAATGGATCAAAGTAGAATGACATGGAGAGTGTATAAATCTGTAGGGGAAGGAAGGTGGGGTAGGAGTCGTCCTCGAAAAGGTTGGAGGGAAAGGGTAAAGGAGGTTTTGTGGGCAAGGGGCTTGGACTTCCAGCAAACGTGCGTGAGCATGTTAGATAGGAGTGAATGGAGACGAATGGTTTTTGGGACCTGACGAGCTGTTGGAGTGTGAGCAGGGTAATATTTAGTGAAGGGATTCAGGGAAACCGGTTATTTTTATATAGCCGAACTTAAGTACTGGAAATGGGAAGTACAATGCCTGCACTTTAAAGGAGGGGTTTGGGATATTGGCAGTTTTGAGGGATATGCTATATCTCTATATATGCTTCTCAACTGTTGTATCTGGGTGGCTCTGCAAAAACAATGATTATGTGTGAGTGAGGTGAAAGTGTTGAAAGGTGAAAGTATTTTCTTTTTGGGGATTTTCTTTCTTTTTGGGTCACCCTGTCTCAGTGGAAGACGGCCGACTTATTGAAAACAAAAAAAACAAACTATTAAGAAAATATAAGGAAACCCAGATTGGTGTGTATACATATATGTGTACATGCATGTGTATTGTGACCTTAGTATAAATAGAAGTAGCATGATGCATGTGTTAGCTTGTGTGATTATGAGACAAAAAGAAAAGACACCATTCCTACCCTTTGTAAAAGTACTACAGGTTTTCATTTCACACTCACTTGGCAGGGTTATGGTACCTTCCTGAGTGATATTTGCAGTTTGGAGGGGAATCTGAAACTGTAGTATCGAAGCACCTTTGGCAAGACAGTGATAGTGAATGCTGGTGAAAGTGTTTCTTCTTTTTGGGCCACCCTACCTGGGTGGGAGACTGCTGGAGTGTTAAAAAAAAAAAATAGTGCTGTTAACTATTGTACTCTGTTGTCAATTATAGTATCCCCTTAAGTATAGTAGTACTTTGTCAACTACAGTCCTGTTGTCAGATCTAATTGTTGTTAACTAGAGTACTGTACTCTGCAGCATTTATAAGATCTCTTTTGCAATTTGAGATTTACTTGTACTCTGTCTAGCTATTTCCAAAAGATTTTTCTTGTGTGGGTATTGAAGAAAGTGAGAGACAATGTTTTATTGCTGCATTGCATAAAAAACTGTATTGGGATATGTGCTGGAAAGGAAACGGGTGAATACCTACTTTAGTCATCCTTATGTAATTAACCGTATCTAATTACTTTTATTAGTACCTGTACCATATGTGTATATACAGTACAATTCTCTTGTAGGGGTTCAGTTGAAGAGCGAGAAATTTTGTGGGAAAAGCGACATTACTTGCACAAAGAACCATTTGCTCTAGCCAAAGTGCTTCTAGCAGCGCATTCATGGGATGTGTCCTGTTTACCTGACCTGCACTCTCTTGTAAAAAACTGGGCTTCACCAGCACCTGCAGATGCCTTACATCTTCTTTTGCCATGGTATGTAGAGAAGCTGGTTAGTAAGTTGTGTTCAAAATAAGGTACTGTAGTGGAAAACATCTGTGACCTGAGGACAGCTTTACAGTGGACCCCCGCATAACGATTACCTCCGAATGCGACCAATTATGTAAGTGTATTTATGTAAGTGCATTTGTACGTGTATGTTTGGGGGTCTGAAATGGACTAATCTACTTCACAATATTTCTTATGGGAACAAATTCGGTCAGTACTGGCACCTGAACGTACTTCTGGAGTGAAAAAATATCGTTAACCGGGGGTCCACTGTATTTTTGTTTATGAATGGGATAAGCACTATGAATCATCATACTTTAGTATCACTATAAATATCAATTACATAGAACTTGGTAAGAAAAAACTATTAAAGATTAAAACTTATTGACTTAATATTAAAATTAATTTAACCCTTATAATGTAGACTTACAATTCATTTAGTTTAGAATCATCCTTGGGAGACTAAATTGTGATAAGGTTTTATATCCCCTGTAAAAATGAAAACAGATCAGCAAATAATTTAATACATTTCTGACCTGTTAACCCTTAAATGGTCCAAATAAATCGACTTTCAAATCCGTAGTGCTCCAAAAGTAGATCTATGTTTTTTTACATACTTTCAAATATAACAAAAAAAAATGTAGATAAAAGTTTTTTTACACATTTTCAAATGTAAAAAAAAAAAATGTACATGTTTTTACATGCTTTCAAATGTTGAAAAGACGTATATATACATTTGGACCGTTTAACGGTTAATTAGCCATTTGTTCATTTGTTTTGTCAATCAAAAGGAATTCCTCATAAATGCAATAATGAATATGAGGGTTAATTATTACATTATTTTTACTGGGGAACTCATGCCCTTTTCCTTGTTTTTCTTGTAGTTTTGCAGACAGTGTGGTGCGTGCTCGTGCTGTAGAGTGGATCAGAGGACTTGGATCTGATGAGTTGATAACCTTCTTGCCACAGCTGGTTCAGGCAGTGAAACATGAAGCATGGGATATATCCCCTACAGCAGAACTGTTGTTAGAACGAGCATTAACTTCACCCAGGCTAGCACATCACTTATATTGGCTGCTTAATCAGTGCCTTCCTCTTCAGGTATATAAATTATCATTATTGTTTTATCCATGGGGAAGTGTTAAACCTGTAGGGGTCATGCAACACCTGGAGAATAAGAGGTTATCAGGTTGTATCCTGGTATAGGAAAGAGTACCTCCAGTTTGTTAGATTAAGAACAGTTCACCAGTGTCAGGCATACTTTGAGAAGGGTTCAGGTATGGAAAGAAAAGGAGAGAGAATACTTCAAAGGTAAATAATATTTGGCTTTTAGACAAATAAGAACCAGAGAGACATTCCAATTACAGTATTGCATTTTCTTTTTTTTTCCTCAACAAACTGGCCGTATCCCACTGAGGCAGGGTGGCCCAAAAAGAAAAACGAAAGTTTCTCTTTTTAAATTTAGTAATTTATACAGGAGAAGGGGTTACTAGGCCTTTGCTCCCAGCATTTTAGTCACCTCTTACAACACGCATGGCTTACGGAGGAAGAACTCAGTTCCACTTCCCCATTAAGATAAGAGGAAATAAACAAGAACAAGAACTAGAAAGAAAATAGAAGAAAACCCAGAGGGGTGTGTATAAATATGCTTGTACATGTATGTGTAGTGTGACCTAAGTGTAAGGAGAAGGAGCAAGACGTACCAGAGCTCTTGCATGTTTGTGAGACAGAAAAAAGACACCAGGAATCCTTCTTTCTTTCTTTCTTTCAACACACCAGCCGTATCCCACCGAGGCGGGGTGGCCCAAAAGGAAAAACAAAAGTTTCTCCTTTTACATTTAGTAATATATACAGGAGAAGAGGTTACTAGCCCCTTGCTCCCGGCATTTTAGTCGCCTCTTACAACACGCATGGCTTACGGAGGAAGAATTCTGTTCCACTTCCCCATGGAGATAAGAGGAAATAAACAACAAGAACAAGAACTAGAAAGAAAATAGAAGAAAACTCAGAGGAGTGTGTATATATATGCTTGTATGTGTATGTGTAGTGTGACCTAAGTGTAAGTAGAAGTAGCAAGACGTACCTGAAATCTTGCATGTATATGAGACAGAAAAATGGACACCAGCAATCCTACCATCGTGTAAAACAACTACAGGCTTCCGTTTTACACTCACTTGGCAGGACGATAGTACCTCCCTGGGCGGTTGCTGTCTACCAACCTACTACCTAGAAGTATTGCATTTATAAAAATAATAAAGAAAGGAATTTTTGATTGCTAGCTTTTACTAGTTTATGGCTAGCTAAATTGTAAAGATAAATTACCAACAGATTTTTTTAAATGCAAAATTTTATTAGGACTGGAATGATAGTTTTGGTAATTTATATTTTTTTCCTATTTTTTAGGCTGTATCTTTATAATCATTGCCCATTGTGGATATGCTGGTGAAGTGCTATTGATCCAAGGAATTTGAGCTGCCCATCCCTTCGTAGGATCGAACCTGGTTGTCTCCTATTATCTAGATGCTGTATGTTTCTGTGTGCCTAACACCACATTTTCCAGATTTTTTTTTTTTCAACAAGTCGGCCGTCTCCCACCGAGGCAGGGTGACCCAAAAAAGAAAGAAAATCCCCAAAAAGAAAATACTTTCATCATCATTCAACAATTTCACCACACTCACACATTATCACTGTTTTTGCAGAGGTGCTCAGAATACAACAGTTTAGAAGCATATACATATCTATAAAATTAAAATTAGTTGATACCCAATGATACTGGTATGTCATCATCAAAATTAGTTTATATCTACCAATACTAACAATCAGTTTTAAGTTAATAATGATACCATCAAAATTTGCCAATACCCACGATGTCGATACTTTGAAGGCAGAGAATTTGTGCATTGGCCAGGAATGTATAACATCCATTAGGAGTGAGGAAAAGCCAGATGTGAGAATGGTGGAGGTTCATGAGGCAGTGGGTAAAATAAAAGGGTAAAGCAGCTGGGATTGACAAGATCATAGCAGAAATGTTAAAAGCAGTTGAGATATAGGTTTGGAGTGGTTGGTATTTATGTTCATTAACTGTTTGAAAGATGGGAAGGTACCTAGGTATTGGCAGAGAGCATTTATAGTTCCATTGTATAAAGGGAAGAGGGTGTAAAATTATAGGGGAATAAGCTTACTGAGTAGACCGGGTAAAGTGGAAGAATTAAGGGCAAGACCGAGAGCAGGATTGCAGATGAACAAGGAGGCTTTAGAAAGGGTAGGGGATGTGTAGACCAAGTGTTTACATTGAAGTATACTTAAAGTGAATAGTATTTAAATAAAGGTAAGGAAGTTCTTGTTGCTTTCATGGATTTAGTAAAGACATGATAGGGTGGATAGGGGAGTGATGTGGCAGATGTTGGAGGTGTATGGAATAGTTGGTAAGTTACTGAATGCTGTTAAGAGTTTTTTATGAGGATAGTGAAGCTCAGGTTAGGGTATGTAGGAGAGAGGCAGATTATTTTCCAGTGAAAATAGGCTTTAGACTGGGTTGTGTGATGTCATGATCATTGTTTAACATAATTATAGATCGGATTGTAAAAGAAATAAATGCTACTGTGTTGGGAGAGGTGTGGAAATAATTTTTTTTTTTTTTATTATCACACTGGCCGATTCCCACCAAGGCGGGGTGGCCCGAAAAAGAAAAACTTTCACCATCATTCACTCCATCACTGTCTTGCCAGAAGGGTGCTTTACACTACAGTTTTTAAACTGCAACATTAACACCCCTCCTTCAGAGTGCAAGCACTGTACTTCCCATCTCCAGGACTCAAGTCCAGCCTGCCGGTTTCCCTGAACCCCTTCATAAATGTTACTTTGCTCACACTCCAACAGCACGTCAAGTATTAAAAACCATTTGTCTCCATTTACTCCTATCAAACACACTCACGCATGCCTGCTGGAAGTCCCAGCCCCTCACACACAAAACCTCCTTTACCCCCTCCCCCCAACCTTTCCTAGGCCGACCCCTACCCCGCCTTCCTTCCACTACAGACTGATACACTCTTGAAGTCACTCTGTTTTGCTGCATTCTCTCTACATGTCCGAACCACCTCAACAGCCCTTCCTCAGCCCTCTGGACAACAGTTTTGGTAATCCCGCACCTCCTCCTAACTTCCAAACTACGAATTCTCTGCATTATATTCACACCACACATTGCCCTCAGACATGACATCTCCACTGCCTCCAGCCTTCTCCTCGCTGCAACATTCATCACCTATGCTTCACACCCATATAAGAGCGTTGGTAAAATTATACTCTCACACATTCCCCTCTCTTTGCCTCCAAGGACAAAGTTCTTTGTCTCCACAGACTCCTAGGTGCCCCACTCACCCTTTTCCCCTCATCAATTCTATGATTCACCTCATCTTTCATAGACCCATCCGCTGACACGTCCACTCCCAAATATCTGAATACATTCACCTCCTCCATACTCTCTCCCTCCAATCTGATATCCAAACTTTCATCACCTAATCTTTTTGTTATCGTCATAACCTTACTCTTTCCTGTATTCACTTTTAATTTTCTTCTTTTGCACACCCTACCAAATTCATCCACCAATCTCTGCAACTTCTCTTCAGAATCTCCCAAGAGCACAGTGTCATCAGCAAAGAGCAACTGTGACAACTCCCACTTTATGTGTGATTCTTTATCTTTTAACTCCACGCCTCTTGCCAAGACCCTCGCATTTACTTCTCTTACAACCCCATCTATAAATATATTAAACAACCACGGTGACATCGCACATCCTTGTCTAAGGCCTACTTTTACTGGGAAATAATTTCCCTCTTTCCTACATACTCTAACTTGAGCCTCACTATCCTTGTAAAAACTCTTCACTGCTTTCAGTAACCTACCTCCTACACCATACACCTGCAACATCTGCCACATTGCCCCCCTATCCACCCTGTCATACACCTTTTCCAAATCCATAAAGGCCACAAAGACCTCTTTAGCCTTATCTAAATACTGTTCACTTACATGTTTCACTGTAAACACCTGGTCCATACACCCCCTACCTTTCCTAAAGCCTCCTTGTTCATCTGCTATCCTATTCTCCCTCTTACTCTTAATTCTTTCAATAATAACTCTACCATACACTTTACCAGGTATACTCAACAGACTTATCCCCCTATAATTTTTGCACTCTCTTTTGTCCCCTTTGCCTTTATACAAAGGAACTATGCATGCTCTCTGCCAATCCCTAGGTACCTTACCCTCTTCCATACATTTATTAAATAATTGCACCAACCACTCCAAAACTATATCCCCACCTGCTTTTAACATTTCTATCTTTATCCCATCAATCCCGGCTGCCTTACCCCCTTTCATTTTACCTACTGCCTCACGAACTTCCCCCACACTCACAACTGGCTCTTCCTCACTCCTACAAGATGTTATTCCTCCTTGCCCTATACACGAATTCACAGCTTCCCTGTCTTCATCAACATTTAACAATTCCTCAAAATATTCCCTCCATCTTCCCAATACCTCTAACTCTCCATTTAATAACTCTCCTCTCCTATTTTTAACTGACAAATCCATTTGTTCTCTAGGCTTCCTTAACTTGTTAATCTCACTCCAAAACTTTTTCTTATTTTCAACAAAATTTGTTGATAACATCTTGCCCTCTCTCTCATTTGCTCTCTTTTTACATTGCTTCACCACTCTCTTAACCTCTCTCTTTTTCTCCATATACTCTTCCCTCCTTGCATCACTTCTACTTTGTAAAAACTTCTCATATGCTAACTTTTTCTCCCTTACTTCTCTCTTTACATCATCATTCGACCAATCGCTCCTCTTCCCTCCCGCACCCACTTTTCTGTAACCACAAACTTCTGCTGTACACTCTAACACTACATTTTTAAACCTACCCCATACCTCTTCGACCCCATTGCCTATGCTCTCATTAGCCCATCTATCCTCCAATAGCTGTTTATATCTTACCCTAACTGCCTCTTCTTTTGGTTTATAAACCTTCACCTCTCTCTTCCCTGATGCTTCTATTCTCCTTGTATCCCATCTTCCTTTTACTCTCAGTGTAGCTACAACTAAAG